AGGGCTTGGAAGGTGGAATGTATTATCATCCGATATCGATATACCCAAGAGAATCTTGTGTTCCATCGAAGGGTCTGTGTAGTTAAGGGGCCCAGTTCTGGCTACATGGTAGTGTAATGACACAGTCACATCTGATGTTGTATTCTTGCCTCTAGTTGTTATAGTGTCATGTATACTAGGGGTGTCCGGGCCTTGGGGTCTTCTTAATGTACACTTCCTACTATCCCAAATGCCCAGCACACAAGCAGCAGCAGCGGCAGTGGCGGCTTCAGACGCATCGTTTTGCAGGACCGACTGCATCTGCTTCAGGGTCCGGTCTTTTGAAGCACTTTGTGCTGTCGTGACGGTAGCAAAATGTCACGTTGCATGGGGCATGCGGTGGTGGCAGCTAACAGTGACTATTGACTATTGTTGCGCAAGAGTTCAGCCCTAAACCGGCCCTAAACCCTAAGAAACAGTGACTATTGCTGCACAAGAGTTAAACCCTAAACCGGCCCTAAACCCTAATTGAGCTCATATTGCATAGCCGCAACTCTAGCCGCAAGTGCCCGCAGCAAGTAACCCGTAGGGTCCTACAGTAGACGCACCGCTTGATGCTTCTTGAGGTGACAAGCAGTCTTCAGGAAATAGAGCGGCTTCTTGGGGGACAGCTCCTGTGCACAGGAAGAGGGCAGGGGCAAATCTTTAGGGTTTCGCTCTCGCAATTATTTTGAGTTTGAGGGTTTAGGGTCTAAGGTTGAAGTTGAGGGTTGATGTGGAGGCGCTTTGGTTATTGAAGGGACCATGTCTCCTGCTCGTCAGCATTAAAGCTGACCCGCCACACCAGGCGCATCATCTCGGAGCCCACGAGGCTTTTGTTGTCAAAGAAGCTAGCAACATTGGTGAACTTCAAGCCATTGCCGGTGTTCTTCGTGAACTTGAACACCAGCGGGGGCACGTCATCGGAGGGGGAAATGACGAACACACCGTCGCCTGGGGCCCATTAGGTGCTAGCTGAAGCCAAATAAGAAATTCACGAAAAAGCTTCAACTAATTGGTAACCGCCCTCCTGCATCGGCACGATCCATCTCGTGGGAGTTGATGGTAAGATCCACCACACCATTTCCTTCCATTTCTTCGATGAGCGACCTCATCAAGTCAAAAGACCCAGCAATGCGTCCCAAGCTTAAGTATCCCCGGATAGCGATGAAAAAAACGGACCAAGAAACCTCATCGTGGATATCTCGGCATCCTTGAGCCTCCTGCTGTTGCCCTCGCTGGTTTCGAAGACCACAGGATCATCGTCGGAGCTCCAGGCGCATACGATGTTCGTCGGCTCTTTGGTAGGGCCTGACAGCATAGCAGTCTGGTTGGTGATTGAGATTTAGGATAGGTCGGGTTTTAGTTTGTGGTTCAGATCTAGGCAGGGGACTTAGGTTGAAGATCTGGCTTTGGGGCTTTGATAATTTAATGATCTGAGGAATTGGACCTCTCTGCTCGAAGATGCTTGTTTGCTTTGGAAAGTAGGGGCTTGAAGGCGCTTGGTTTCGCTAGTTTTTTGCTAAGAACACGGGTGCACGGGTCATATGGCCTTGGGTTTTAGGATGCAGCTTTTGGGCATTTAGGTTTCAGCCGTGAAAAATTTCGGACTTCAGTCAGGCTTCAGGTATTAATCAAAAGTGCAGACTGCATATTCTACAAACATTCGAATTTACATCCAATGCATGGTGATCCTACACCTCTCCATCAAGTCTAAGGACGAGCCAGAATCGACAAAAACCCTCCCCCACAGCACACTCCGAACGTTTCTGTCGCAGGTGTTGGTCGCATCATCATGATGACGTGTGTGGCGGCCGATAACTCAAGAGCTGCACCCTGGGTCGGGTTGTACTTAGGAGAGGCAGCATAGCTCGCAGCAGCGCAAAGACTTGGTGGTAGTAGTAGTCGTCGAAGTAGTAGTAGTAGTAGTAGTAGTAGTAGTAGTAGTAGCAGTAGTAGTAGTAGTAGTAGTTGTTGTTGTAGTTGTAGTTTTAGTTATTGTGGTAGCAGTAGCAGTAGTAGTAAGCAGTTGTAGCAGTAGTAGTAGTAGTAGTAGTAGTAGTAGTAGTAATTGTTGTTGTTGTTGTTGTTGTTGTTGTTGTTGTTGTTGTTGTTGTTGTTGTTGTGTTGGTGTTGTTACTGTTGTTCTCCTAGTTGGAGTGGTGGTGTAGAAGTGGCAGTAGCAGTTACAGTAGTAGTGTAGCAGTACGAGTAACAGTGGCAGGCAATGGCAATAATTTACTGTTTCGATTAGGCTGCTCACTAGGCATAACGATTTCTTGAATTTAGATACCAAGTCGGGAATGCAGCTGATACCAATCTAGCAAAGTGGACTCCGATTCGGTGCACCACGGCAATCGTAAATAAGGATCTGTCAACCAACGTACTCGCCGACGGGATTCATCAAGCATCGTAAAAGACGACGAAGCAAACTTGCGAGCATCATCCGGAAGCAAGTAAGACCAGAGCATCCGTCCGAATTTGGACAAGCGCAGAAGCCGATGCGGAGCATCGCAGCAAGACCTGAGCTATTGCCCCAGCACCTTTTCTTTCACCCGTCCCACGAGCGCTGCGGTAGCAAGACTTCTATGATGGTCTGAGGCCCATCGTCGTCTGTGCGGTAGCAAGACTTCTATGATGGTCTGAGGCCCATCGGCGCCTCTGTAATTAAGCGCCCGCCCCATGGGCGCTGTGCTAGCCTAGTGCTAGCAGCTAGCAAAACTTCTATGCGGTCTCAGGCCCAACGTCGCCTCTTTAACTCAGCTGAGGAAAGGCCCCGCATGGCCGAGACACGAAGAGGGTGTGTTTTCCACCTAAGTAGTGGCAAGCAGGAGTCCTAGTTATGCAGTCGTAGTCGTAGTCACAAGCCTCGTAGCAGAAGCACCAGCAGGAATGTGGGCTTGTGAGTCGTGTAGTAGTAACAGTAATAATCGAAGTAGAAGTAGCAGTAGCAGTAACAGTGTGGTAGTGGTAGGTACAGTAGTAGGTAGTGGTAGTGGTAGTGGTAGTAGTAGTAGTAGTAGTAGTAGTAGTAGTAGTAGTAGTAGTAGTGTAGTAGTAGTAGTAGTAGTAGTACGATTACTAGAACAGTACATAATTATTGTTGTTGTTCCTCTGGGAAGAAGCTATTACAAGTCGTGGTGGTTGTAGCGGTTGTGGGGATGGGTGCTGGTGCTCGGGGTTAAATTAAAGTTACAGTCGGGGTTGTCAATGGCCCGGTGACTTCGTATTGGCGCTTGTGTCTTAGCCCTCAATGTTATATCAGGTTAGTTTAGGGTTCCAGCAAGAATAATGGGATCCGGTTCAGGGTGACACTGTTGTTGTTATCAGGTTTCAGGGATTAGTGTGTTTCGGTTTTAAACAAAATCATGGTGGCTGATGAACAACTGGGAGCAGCACTGCTCGCTGGCTTCCTTCATGAGTTGGCTCAGCTTCTTCCCGGTGCCCTTGTTGTCACGGATGTAATCGGTGGAGAACTTCTTCCAACCCTCTGTGAGGGCCGTCTCTTTCCTGGGTTTCCTATTGTCAGCCCCCGCCGATGGGATCTTGTTCTTGCCGTGCTTGGCCTTTGCCTTAGCCATGCCCTTAGCCGATGACTTCGCGACTGGTTTAGGCTTCTTGTTGCCACCGTCGACCTGCTGCGGGTTTGCCGAACCATCATCAGCCTGGCCCCCCTCCGAACCATCATCGTTGGAAGCGACCGGGTTCTCCGAACCATCACCATTGTTGGAAGCGACCGGGTTCTCCGAACCACCACCGTGGGAAGCGACCGGGTTCTCCGAACCATCACCACTGTTGGAAGCGACCGGGTTCTCCGAACCATTACCGTGGGAAGCGACCGGGTTCTCCGAACCATCGCCGGGGGAAGTCTTCGCCGATGCCTTTTTGGTCTTGCCAGCCTTGCCTCTCTCGGCCGAGGTAGCACAAGCTGCTTTGACCATGGCGGCGAACGATCCAGGCTCCGGCTCCTGCGATTGGAGTAGCTTTGATCTTCCAGGTTCAGTCCTACATACTATTCTTACAACAGAAGCGAAGGTTTGATACTATGGGTTCAGTAATGACCAAGAAAAACTTAATTAGAATGATAATTCTAGATTGTTTCTGCCGACTTTCAGTTCAGGTTGGGTGACCTGTTGCCTAGCTATTGTAACCACTCCGCCTTATGGTCTGGAATGCAGCAGTTGATGTTAGTACTGGCATTACGAGCAGCACCGGCGGTTTAGCAGCAGTAGTAGTAGTAGTAGTAGTAGTAGTAGCAGTAGTAGTAGTAGCAGCAGTAGTAGTAGTTGTTGTTGTTGTTGGAAGAGGATGCAGCTAGTGTTTCTGCTTGTGCTGGTTGTGGTGGCGGTGCTGCTGCTGCGGCTGCTCTTCATGTTCCTGTTCCTCTTGTTGTTTCCGTTGCACGTTCGTCCTCGTTGTCGTGGTTGTTGTCATTTGTTGTTGTTGCTGCTGTTGTTCTTGTGGGTGTTCTTGTTGTTGTTAGTTTCAAACTGATATTATTGTTGTTTTTTGTTGTTCTTCTAGTTCTTGATGTTGCTCTACAAGTAGCAATACGATGACCATTGGAAAACATTACGTGATGGACCCTTTCAAGCCACTAGGGAGGAGCGACGAATCCTATGCAATCTACATATCCCTTCAAAACGCACTGATGGAAGGCTGCGTGGTCCAAAACTTCGGTAGATAGAAGAAAACCATGCTTCACAAGTACGTAAACCTTGGGGCTTCAGCTTAAGGATTCTGGTGCCTTGAAGTTTGAGGGGCTATTGGCCGCGGTAGTACTCTAACTGACGAGCAGAAACGGGTCTCGGCTTAGGTGCTTAGATTTCTATCCTCGGCCCCGGAAGTCTCCTGAGAAGTCGTGTCGGCAGTCTTGGCCTTCTTGTGCGCACTGGGGTCGGTTGCGGCTGGCGGAACCTCCGTCGGCTTAGCCTCAGTCGCGGCAGCCTTGGTCCTCTTGTTCGGCTGGGGGTCTGTTGGCTCGGCCTCAGAAGTCCTAGGCTTGGTCTTGTTCGACTCGGTACCTGCTGCCTTCTGGAGCTTGAGCTCAACCTGCAGTTTCGTTGCCACCTGCTCAATCTCAGACTGTAAGTCCTTCTCAGCCTCGGCGTCCGGGATTTTTGCGGCTGGGCTTGAGTCGGGGCAAAGGGGAGCAGGTTGCTTTCGTGTAGCCGTCGGAGGTGTGAGGCCCGTGTCCGAATCCAAGGTAGCCCCACGTCTGTAAGGCCCGCCCAGAATCTGAGTGGACTCAGACTCAAGGGACATCTGCCGCTTCACGGGCTGGGGTGTGTACGTTCTCGCCAGGCCACTGCTCATCGAAGACTGGGAGGAGGCACCCGACCCAGCATGCAACGGGGCTGTTGGCATGGTGCAATGAGAGGCCATGAGGAAGTCCATGAGGTCACTGGCACGATCCTCCCTGTTCATTCTGAACAAGGTAGCTACGAAATAACTAGCCACAAAAGTGCCTCCAGGGTGTCTTGATCCACCAGACTTTACGATAGGAAGCGAATCAGTTGCAAGCACACTCGAAGAGGCACACAGACACACACACACACAGACACTGACAGTCCCTTCCATACCCTTCTAAAACCCTCTCTTATCTCTCTGATCCTGCCTCCTTGCTCCATGAGCTTTTGCACTTTCGGGCCGGCCAAGAACGATGCACGGTCGTGTGCGATCTGGTACTCGGTGTTCGGGATGGTCACATCACCGTTGGCAATCTGAGCTCAGAAGCGGCTTCGAGGGGTTTTGGGATTTAGAAGTTTCTGGGCTTGGGGTTTGGATGGGCTCAAAGGTGCCTGTAGCTTAAACTGGTTGGAGGATTTAGGGGCTGGACTAATTAGAGGTAGTACGATAGAGTTCGGGGTTTAGGGATTTGGGCGCTTTGCAGTATTGGTGAGTCAAATAATAATAAAAATTGATTACAAATGGGTTCCGGGGTTTAGGGTTGCTGGCTACTGCTGTAGGGCAAACCGTCGTGCACAATTCGTTGCTCCCTCTCATACAGGAAGAATGTTTTTAAGCCCGGAACCATGAAGAGCTTGTGCTGCTGGTTCTCAGCAACTAGATTGGCCTCTGTCTGCTCCTTCTCGATAGCGGGCACAATCTTCAAGACCGTGTTTGCATTCCGTCCCGGGAACGAATGCAAGGTGTCATACCGGGCCGCGAGGTCATCCTCTGTCTGGGGCTCGGATTTCCACGGCCCCTCAGTGATGCTGACGAGGTCTTCGGGGTCCTGTGTTGTCGTCGATGTTGCCGGGGTTGAAGAGGCGGCGCAGGTGGTCGTGTGCACCCTGGGCGAGGCTTCAAAATCATGTT